AGGGGCACAGGACGGTGGCCGGGTACACTGTGGGAGGAGGGGCACAGGACGGAGCCCGGGTACACTGTGGGGGGAGGGGCACAGGACAGAGGCCAGGTACACTCAGAGTTACTCATCTGTTCATAAGCTATTTGTTTCCACATTTCTCTGCAGAGATCAACTTCTACATACTCCTCTTATAAACAGAGAATCTCTGCTTGGATATGAGTATCCGTACCGATTTAGCACATGCAGAGTTCGTAACTGTGTGTATGATCATTGGAGCACGATGATACTCAAGACCTAGTGCGACACAAGACACCTTTGGCACCACACTAAGCTCAAACTACCATTTTAAATAAGCCTTGTAGTTGACTTTTTTATGCTGACATCAAATTCCATATATGTTACACTCTTACATGCTGTCTTCAGTTTATGGTGTCCATGATAAAACTTTATCTAGGAATGACAATGTACTTTGGCTCCATTTCCCTCGACACTGAAGTACTGCCAGCTGCACCAGCCCAAGAAGCTTTAAGGACGCTTTGTCAAGCTGGTGTCTGCTGAAGGCCCTAGTGTTCTATGCAGTCAGTGAACTTAATAGAGGGCACTGCAGCGGAGTAAGAAATGTATTTCTAAGGCCAGGGATGTAGCTCACTGGTAGGTGTGTGCTACTACTAAAATGGTGTGCCCTGGGTTCAGTCCTTAATGCTGAAAACAGAGAGAGAGAGAGAGAGAGAGAGAGAGAGAGAGAGAGAGAGAGAGAGAGAGAGAGAGAGAGAGAAAGAAAAGAAGAAGATGAAGAAGAAGAAGAAGAAGAAGAAGAAGAAGAAGAAGAAGAAGAAGAAGAAGAAGAGAAGAGAGTAATTTTAAGTTTGAATAAGACTTTAAAACTCCAGTTTTCAGACAAACTCTAAAATATATTCAATAACCTCGTTATTTTCTAAAACTAATTTCGAAAAAATTAGCCACAAAATGTTCTTCAGTGGACTAACTGGATAAAAGAATGAATAAAATTTCATTCTTAAGCTATCTCATGGCTCCTGTCATTTTTAAAAAGGCTTTATTAAGGAGTAATTTTTAGCCAAAAGTAGATTATGCATGTCTAAAGTTAACAACTAAGCTTTCTGGAAGCTTGAAGAGGCAACTTGGAGAAATATAATTTTGTTTAAACGTAGCACCATTAATGTATTTTTTAAAAAAGGTATGATACAGGTTGGAAATGGTTAATTCTATATACCATAAAAGCTTATGCCTAGAAAAACTTTAAAAATGTGTTTACACGCATAATCAGAAGGACTTACTATTTGAAGAACTAGCATTTGCTGTTCAAAATGGAGAAGTTTCAAAGGCAGAGAAAGGCCTGAGTTTGGTTACATAATTGAAGTAAATATACGACACAGTCACTAGGATATTTTTACAAAGGCCCAGTACTGGTGTGATCGTCCCCAGGGCAATGATTAAACTGAGTCTAAGAAAAACAAAGGGCAAATCTTGCATCAGGATCCCCAGGAAACTGAGGAGAGGGTTATTCGGTGTGAAGACCGTTCGCAGGAGAGAGATGAAACTGAATAAGTAGACAGGGTACAGCCAGCCTGACTTGTACACCGCCTGGTGCCCGGCCACACGGAGCATTTCTACCGTGTCGGACCACATGAGAAAGCTTCGCAGGAACAGCTCCGCCCGGACATCTCTTTGAGACATTGTCCTCAGGATTCCAGACTCAAAGGAGGGCTCCAGGGGCCCAACTAGCACTGCCACGTGATTCTGGGGCTGGGATCTCGCAGTGGGCTTGGTTGCCTGGGCAGATGCAGGATTTTCATCACTTTGAACCACCTGTTCTGTCACGGTTTTTATCTGTTGTAACGAGGTTACACGGATGTCATTGTCTTCATAACCTGCAAAACATTGATAGATTTGAATACTGTTTCTTTAATCTGAAATTGTTTAATTTACACAAAATTAACAATTTTAAAATGAGTTCAATGGCGGTTCTATAATCCCAGTGTGGGAAGAGGACATAGAAGCTGGAAGGATGGCAAAATAGAGGTTGATCTAAGGTACATAGAGAGTGGGCAGATAGATAGATAGATAGATAGATAGATAGATAGATAGATAGATAGACAGACAGATAAAGAGAAGGGAGGGGAGGAGGGAAGGAAAGAAAAGGGAAGGGAGGGGAGAGAGGAGGGATTGCTCAGTTGGTAGAATCCATATAGAAAGAAGAGAACTGACTACCAATGGTTCTGTGATGTCCACATGTCCCTCTTGGCAAACCCATGCCCAAACACACATGTAAAACCTAAAATTCAAATTGAAAATAAAATTCTATGCGCTGGAATGTTATATGGCCTCGCAGCAGCGATGATTATCTCATACTGTTCTGCTAGAGCGTCCAGAAGACCTGAGTTCAGTGCCTAGAGCCCTCGTCAGGTAGCTCCCTGAAACTGCAGCTCCAGCTGCAGGGAGACTGAAAGCCTCTATCCCCAAAGAGCACCTGGGCTGGCCCGTGCACACACCTCCACACAGACACATAATCAAATAAATATTTTAAATGTTAGTCCTTAGAATAAAAGTCAAAATCTTTGACATGAAGAAAACAATAGCTAAGTGAATGACATACTAAAGACATTTCAGAAATTCTTTTGGCATGTTGGTATTTTTTCTGGGTATGAAACCTAAGTGATTTTCACGATTTGACAGAAAAGGCATTATTGATTACTTATTGAATCCTTGGAACAAATGAGGAAATGATTATCAGTCCATTTCCAGTTTTAGAAACTGGAATCCATGAGATTATATGATGATCCAGTTCCGGCTCAGGGCAGAGCTTGAGTCCCCAGCCTGAATGGCTGGGCTCCAATTGAAAAAAGTTTAATGTTATAGCTGTTATTGTCTGTGTAGAAGCAACATAGTGTGTGCTAATTATAAAAGACATGAGTATCAAAACCAGGTGAATCAACCAGTTTACCAGCTTGTCACTCAGTAAGATGAAATAGGTTCACAGGACTGACTATACACTAGTTCCCTAGCATGAGAGTTCAGGGTTGAGAAGGAAAAGCTGTTTGAGCCACAGACAATCTTCATAAAAATAGGTAAGCAGTTCTTTCCCATGGGTTTTAGAAGCAGACAACAGGAGTGGTCAGCTGAACACATCATATCTCGGTCATGAGCTTGTATCTTGATCAATATACTTGTCAGCTGAATGGAAATGTCACTGATACCTGTCACACTGTGTGTGTGTGTGTGTGTGTGTGTGTGTGTGTGTGTGTGTGCACATTATGCATGTGTGGATTAATGTGCACATGAAGGGATGTATGCATGTGGATGGGGTCATCTTTGGATGTTGATCCTTAGATGATGTCCTCCTTGTTTTTACATACTGAGTCTCTCACTGGGAACCAGAGTTACTGACTAGGATAACACGGCTAGCCAAAAACACTGAGAAATCTACCTGTCTCTCCTTCCCAGGGTTAGGCTTACAAGAACCTGCCACAATCTCCAATATTTTTATCTTCATTTTTTGAGACTTATTTTATTTGTATAAGCATTTTGCCTGTATGTATAGCTCTATCACATGTATATCTGATCCTAACAGACCAGAAAGGCCATTGGATACCTTGAAACTAGAGTCACAGGTAGTCGTTATCCACCATGTGAGTGCTAAGAATCAAATCCCAGTTCTGTGGAAGAGTAGCCAGTGCTCTTAAGTGCTAAGAAGTTGCTCCAGCCCCATGTCTAGTTTCCATGTGGGTTCTGGGAATTGAACTTGGGTCCCCATGCTTGCTTGCAAGCACTTTACTGACTGAGCCCTCTCCCAAGCCCCTATTGTACATCATTTGTCAAACACTTATCCACTTAAACACCATTTTTTGTTGCTAAGATTTTATCAGCCTCACAAAGTTTATTGAGAAAATATTCTGAGAAGTCCTGTTACCCAGAGAGACCAAAGGTAAAGGGAGTGTTCGGTGAGAAGATTCGAAAGTCAAAGAGACAATGTCAATAAAAAACTATCTGGACTGAAAGTGAAACATTGTGCAATAAGTTTTGCTTCATGAGTAAGAAGCTTAGTTACTGAGATAAAACTATTTGTTAAGTGTACATTAACTCTCAGTCATTTTTCATATAGTTAATTATTTAAGACTTTTAAGATTAAACCAAGTTTTTGTAAGCTACAAAGATTATCTAAGTTTTTATGGCTGTTTTGTTTGTGTTGGGGGATGCAATGGATGTAGCGTGTGTGTGTGTGTGTGTGTGTGTGTGTGTGTGTACATGTAGAAGCCAGAGGTTGACTTCAGGGGCTTTCTTCAATTGTTTCTCTCTCTTTTCTTTTCTTCAATCATTCATTTATTCATTTTTAATAAGATGTGATTATTCTTTTTTCTTTTATTAAATATAGATTTTTCTCACATAATATGTCTATCATATATATTATAATATATCTATTCCTCACGGTTTGTCACATCTCTCCTCCCATCCAGATCCATTCCCTTTCTGCCTCTCAGAAAACAAACAGGCTTCTTAGGGATAATAATTAATATACTAAATACAATATAATATAACATGATAAAAAACATAAGTAATACATTGGAATTGAACATGACAAACAAACAGAAGAAAAAGCACCTAAGAGTGTCAGAAACCATCTAGGAAAGGTTAAAGGCATGCAAGTGACTTTTCTGAAGATGGCTTACCATTTTGCATAGCCTGCAATGGGTGAACTCAGAGGCAAGATCCCAAGAGACTTCATCCCAGGATTGCTTCTTGCTATTGATATGCCTTTCCTGTCACTATTACATAGCCTAAGAATTCCTGGGCATCAACTTACCCTTTTGAGCAGATTTTCTGCAGATCAACATAGAGATATATAATCATGTAGTAACAGTGTAGACAAATTGATTATTTCATAGTTTCTAATACTTTTATAAAATTCCTAAATTTACACACGCAATTTCTAACCTCTAAAAGCTGCAAATAGGACTCTTTAAACCTTCATGTGTCGTGGACTAATGGCACTAGGATAAGAAAGCAGGCTTGGAACAAATTTACAATCAGGGAAAATTATTCCTTCTAGGTTAGCTGTGAGACCATTACCTGGTAACTAAAAGTCACAAACTGAGAATGGACAATTTATTGTAGGTGCAAGGACAAAAAGAAATAACATAAAGTATTGACTAGTATATCTATACAAAGTTTCAAAACTAATGAGACACAAGGCAGATGATTTGTCTCTTGACAAAACCACACTAAAAAACTTTGTGCCACAAGAATTATTGTTTTAAACTTATAATGAACTTATGGAGCTAGTAACAGATAATGACGTTTAGTCAGGTACTAGTTTTAATTGGAAAGACATACAAGCATTTCTGTTGCAGCTCTTTATGACATGAACTATTGTCTTGAACTTTCTATGAACTTATAACATGTAAAGATGCTTGGAAAACCATGTGATCAGTTATGCTGAGAGAGTATAAGACCTAAGAGCCAAAAGTAAGCAATGTTGTGGCTTTCTTCAGCTTCACCCAGCATGTATGTTTTTTCCTGCATGCGTGAATAAAGGTTAGAGGGAACTTGCTCTATGGACCTTTATTTTATCCATCAAATATGTGTTTGATGTGTATGTGTTGTGTGTGTGTGTGTGTGTGTGTATATGTATGTATGTTTGTAAAACGAACAGAGCTTCTTTTTCTGTTTAATCCAGAGTGAGTGGTTTTAACTCAGTGAGCGTGTGTTAATGAACTCTGAGGCTCTTGCCTAATCAGCAAGGGACTTGAGAATAAAAGAGTAAAGAATAAGCTAATTCATTTACCTATACCCCTGCTGCTAAACAACAAGTGTTAATCATCAGAAGTCAGAGGCTTTTCACCACATAACAGAAAAGAGTTAAGAAAAGTGTATATTACCAAAAGCTAGCAACTTTTTGCTCTAGGGAAACCAAGTTTTGTCCCTGCAAACCACTGAAGTCCATGGCTACCTTCCTCAGAGAACTGGCACAGTGGCTGACTGGCAGTACAAGAGAAGACAAAAGAATCAGAATCAGAGATCCAGTCATTCACATACTCAGGAATCTCATAAAAACACTAAAATTGGAAGCCACAATATAAACCCAGGAACCTGGTGCAGACCTGTGCAGGCTCTGTGCGTGCTGCCTCAGTCTCTGTGAGTTCCTGTGAGCTTTGAAAAACATTAATTTAGAGGACCTTGGTGTCCTTCAGCCCCTCTGGCTCTTACACTCCTTCAGCCTCATTGGTTAGAGGATTCCCTAAGTCCTGAGGGGAGGGATTTGAAAGAAACATCTCATTTAGGGCTGAGTGTTCCAAGGTCTCTCACTCTCTGCATAATATCTAGCTGTGGGTCTCTGTATTTGTTCCTATGGTGCAAGGTAAAGTTTTTTGATCATTGCTGAGCAACTGTTTTGATGACCAAGAACCAGAGACAAGATAACCCAGGGACCTAGGGTAAAACCAAACACTACTGCTCTGGGTGGGAGGTGGGGGAGTAACAATAAGATGACGCCTTGTGACATTCTTTACACTCATAGATCAGTGCCTATCACTTTGTTCCATACTGTTGTTGTTGTTTTGTTTTATTTTTTAAGGAAAGATCTCTCACTGAGCCTGGCACCCTTTGGTTTGCTACGGCTGCTGGTAATGAGTGTCAGATCTCTTCTTCTCTGTACCTTCCCAGTACCTACCTCAGCACCATAGTGTGGACTTTCTGCTTGGGCGCTGGGGATCTATAAGAATATTCCAGGATTTGCAACCCCTAGATACCTCTTTTCTCACAGTAGAAGCCACAATGGGCTGAATGGTTATCATTTCACGAACAATGCTAAAAGAATATGACACTCTAGAAGTTATTATTGCTTTAAAATCCATAAAAATCCTCTTTTTAAAGT